AGCCAAGTCTCAATTAATCAGAATGAGGAAGTTACTCCTCCCCATGGGAAAACCACAGTCACATGGCACTTGCCGATCATGAAGGGAAAGAATTACTGGGAGCAATAGTTACCATCTCATACTGTCTTTCTCTCCTTGTCACTGGAACACAATACCCGATATCCACAACTTACAGGAAGAGAGGTTCATTTTGGCTCATGGTTTATAGCCTGTGGTCAGCTGGCTGCAAGACAGGACAGCAGGGCAGCAAGGCATAGTGCAGAAGAGCTGCTTGTGGCATGGCGGACAGGAAGCAGAGAGTGAAGGGAGGAGCTGGGAAGGGAGATAACCCTTCCAGGCCACACCCCCAGTGACCCACTTCTTCCAACCAGATCCCTCCTAACAGTGAGTCCGCTATAAGCGCATAATCCAATCACGTTCCAAAAGCACCATCTAGGAGCACATAAGGCTTTGGGAGGACATCCAAATATAAACCATAATGAATACAGACTAACACATAGTTTAAATAGATTGTGGAGCATGAGAAAGCGAATACCTCTAGAAATAAAAATTAAAGTTTTATAAGTCAGAGACAGACTTAATGGTAGATTAGGCATGGCTGAAGAGAAAGTAAGCAAACTGGTCAGAAAGTGGAGCCCGTTAGTTAGAGTTCTCCAGAGAAATGGAATGAATAGGATGTGTGTAAAGATAGAGTGAAGGAATTGGCTAAGCAATTGGCTCGTGTACTTGTGAGGCTGACAAGTCTGAAATCTTCTGGGAAAATCAATAGGCTGAAGACTCTAGGAAAAGTCATATTTCAGCTTGAGTCCAAAGGCAAAATTTTACTCAAAGGTTCTGAAAACAGAATCAGCTCTTCCTCAAAGGATCTCATGGTTTTCTCTTTTAAGGCCTTCAACTGATTATACAAAGCCCACCTACATTAATGAGGGTAATCCAATTTACTCAAAGCAAACTGGTTTAAAGTTAATCTCACCTAAAAAGGACCTTCCCAGTAATATCAGGACTAGTGTTTGACCAAGTATCAGTACCATGGTCCACCCATGTCAGCACATAAAATTAATCATCATAGGGAGGCTATATCTGCCTCTGCTTTTTTGAAATTTGTTTTCAACATTTACTACATCTGTATAGAAATACAATTGATATTTAAAATTGTATCCTAAGACCTTGTTAAACTTAGTAGCTCTTTTTCAGAATCTTTAGAATTTTCTGTGTGGACAATTACAATGAATAATGACCATTTTAATTTTTTAAAAAGTGAATTTCCAGGGCAGAGCACAGAGAAACAAAAAAATGGATCATAAAGGCAGTCAAGATACAAGATATAAGAAGGCTGGACTGAGAAGATCTATCACATGCCTAATCAGAGTCCCAGAGAGAGGTAAAACAGAATGTGGCAAAAGCAGTATTTGAATATTCAAAAAGATCATGGCTGATTAAAAAATTTAGGGATCCCAAATTCCAATTTGTCCATATCTCAGGCTGGACAGATAAGGAGAAATCCCATCAGAGGAAAATTGCAGGACACCAAAAACCAAGAAGGAAGATCGCCTTCAAAGAGAAACAAACAGAGGCGACATCTCGGCTGCTACAGAAATCTTCAAGGTTGGAATGGTCTCTGTGTGCATCAGAGAAATTATCAGCTTAGAGCTGTACACCCTGTGGCAAGTATCTTTCAGGAAAAGACTACAAAAAATATCTTTCAGGATAAGAGCTAAAGAGTCAGGCAAACAAAAGCTGAGAATTTGACATCAAAAGTTGTTTATCAGATAAAGATCTAAAGGATTATTTTAGGCAGATGGAAATGGATTCCAGGTGGAAATGGTACTTTTAAGAAGAAAAAAGAGAGAGAGAGAGAAATGGGAAAAATACCGGTAAATATGTTGGTTCATTTCAACAAACATTGATTGTATAAGGCAAAAGTAATTTAAATGAGAGATCTATTTATAGCATGATGACTATACTTAGTAACAGTGTATTGTATTCTTGCAAGTAACTAAGAAAGTAAATTTTAAGTGTGCTTGACATGAAAAATGTTAGGTCTGTCTGTGCGGTATCGCACATGTCCATTAGCTTGGTTTAGCCATTCCACAATGTAGACATGTTTCAAAACATCATGTTGTACCCCAAAATATATGCAAATTGTGTGAATTTTTTTAAAGTTAAACAATAATAAGTTTTTAAAACAACTAAAATCCAAGGAGAGGAAAAACTGAAGTTAAAGTATGTTAAATCTCTTAATGTTTTAGGTAGAAGAATAAATATACTGTTAACCTGAGATGTGGACAAGTATGTTGAAATTCTTAGAGTGACCTCATTACTAGAAAACTGCTTCTCAGTGTGGGAGGGTGTGTGATTTTGTCCCTTGGGGATATCTGGCACTGTCGGGACATATATTTAGCTGTCTGGGGTGGAGAGACTATTTATTCCTGATATCCAGTGGGTAGAGGCCCGTAATGCTGCTAAGTATCCAACAACACAGAGTCACACACATGGAAGAATTACCAAGTTCAAGATGTCACTAATGTAAAGGTTGAGAAATCCTGTGATAGAAGAAAAAGTGAATAAGAACAATACTCAGTCAAGAGGCTACTACTCCAACCAAAACAGGAGAGAAAAAAGAAACCTCTTTTTTTAAAGCAAAACAAATAGAAAATATAAAGTAATATAATATTACTTCGTATGTAATATTAACCCAAGATAGACTTTAAGGCCCAAAGATTACTAGAGTTAAAAAGTACTACCACGTAATTATAAAGTTTCAGTTCATCTGGAAGGCAAAAAAGTTCTAAACATATATGCACTTCACTATATAGCTTCAAAGTAGATGAAAATTGACAGAACCCTAAGGAGAACTGAATAAATTCACCACCATGTTAATGTCATGAATGACTGGTATTTATGTGGCATTGACAAGGATCTCAGCACTGTGCTAAGCACATTACAAGTTTCTTTTTATTTTTTATTTTTAGTTTGTTTGTTTTGCCACTGTAAGAAAGAGGAAATGCTGTCCCTTAAAATATGCTGCACTATCAATAGTGACACATCTAAATATCAGAGAAGTTAAAGTGTGCGTATGTGCATGTATACCATGTCCACACACACACACAGAATGAAAGTAAATACAGCAGTTACTAGTAATCTAGACACATGAAGGATACCTGGGCATAAAACTTCCAAAAGATTTAACATTTTAAAAATAAATTTGGGGAAAATTGTAACATAAATGGATATGCTTACATATAGTCATTATTCCAATATATATTCATTACATATATGTTCAAAACAGTGTTTAGCGGGGTATGGGGGCACAGGCCTGTAATCCCAGCACTCGGGAGGCTGAGGCAGGGGGATCTTTGTGAGTTCAAGGCCAGCCTGGGCTACACAGAGAGGCCTGTCTCAAAACAACAGTGTCTTGGAAAATGAGCTGATAGTGGGTTTTCATCTCAGGGAAAAAAAAAAAACACCATACCTGGTATTTCTGCATTCCTTTTGTGCTTAACCTTAGCATAGATATCTTTCTAATAGGTAAGGCTTCCTCTCCAGCCCTACACTGAGAATGTTACTGGGGTCACAGCCACACATAGGAAAGGACACAGCTTGAGGTGAGCAGCGATTCTGCAACAGAGGCACTTGGCGCACAGCATGCAGAGCATGCGCACTAGCTGATGAGCGCGGTGGCTGAGCCTGAGTCCTGGCTGGCTTCCAAGGACACGGAAGCGTCGCTAGAGAAGAAGAGGGCTAATGACAGTTACACAGCGCCAAGGATGCTGGCGAGGACATGGGCCATGAACAGAGGGGCCCCTACACCTGCCTCGGCCACTGAGTTCTTTGTGCTTCCATTTCGCTGCGTGCAGACACCAGAGGCCTGTGCACTTCGCCTCACCCCCCAGCATGGTTCCAGCGTCTCTTCCGCATGCTAGAACTATTTGAGAGAGGGCTGGAGAATTAAGACGACAATCATCTTTCTTATAAATGTACTTAGATCTTTTTACAACATAAGCAGTACATTGACAAAGGTACCCTGTGTTAAATGCTTGTATATGCCCGGCTTTGAGGTAAATGAAATCCATATATTATCTCATTTATTTTTTTTTTATTGTTATTTTGTGTGTGTATACTGGGAATTGAATCCAAGGCCTTTCCTGAGCTACAGTCCCAGCACTTTTTTTTTTTTAATTGACACAGTCACTAAGTTGCCCAGGCTGGACTTGAACTTAACAATCTTCCTACCTCATCCTCCCACAGTGCTGGCATTATAGGTGTGTACCATCATGCCTGGCTCTCATTTATTCTTGACGGTTGAACGTTCAACGGGAACATCTGAAACCACTTAACAATAGCCCAGGGCAGCCTAGGAGCCAAACTGAGTTCATCCCAGATGTGTGGCAAAGGTCACTGTGTTAAAAAGGATGTGGGCAGCCTGTAAACTTTGCAGCAGGAAATGAAGGTGGAAGACTCTCACCCATGAGAAAATTCCAGGAATTCTTGGACAAGAAGGGATTTCAGCATTAGGCCCACCATTAGGACATTCTATCAGAAAACACGCGTCCAGTTGGCTTGAAAGACCTCTAAGGAGAAGCCTGTGGGCTGTTTCTGGCAGTCGAGGCCTGTGGAAGGCACGCACTAAACTTCCCCATGGGGCTAACCACCCCCCACTGCACTGGCCTCAAGGCACCTGCTGTGTCTCACAAGCCAGGGGTTTAACCATGGCTGCACAATATAACCACTTGAGCTTTAGAAATGTCAGTGCCGGGGCTTCCCCAAGCCCAATTAATTCTAGCTGTAAATTTAAGATCCCAGCATCAGTTTGTTTGTGGTACTGGGTATTAAATCCAGGGCCTTTGCACTGAGCTACATCCTCAGCCCTTTTTTAAATCTTTTATTTCAAGATAGGGTTTTGTGGGCTGGGGATGTAGCTCAGTGGTTTCCGCCACCTGCTGCGCAAGCGCAAGGACCCGAGTTCAATCCCCGGTACCCCCCCAAAAAACATAGGGCTTTGCTAAACCTTTAAATTTCCTGGGCTGGGCTGCAAGTGGAAATCCTCCTGTCTCAGCCTCCCAGAGTGGTGGGATTATAGGTGTGCACCACCACACCCACCTCAGCATCTACTTTTTAGGGTTTTCAGGATGATTCCAACCTGCAGTATGGGAGGAGCACAGCTGCTGCAGCCAGGCAGGTATGGAAGGTTTATCTGTACTTTCATGTGATCTCCAAAGGGGTCTGCAGAGATTCACAGCTGGACGTGCCCACAGCTGTTTTGAGTTCTACCCACCAAGATGGCGCCAAGGAGCCCTGGTCAATTTCCTCTGCATCTGTTGTGCGGAATTAAAAATAAACAAAACAGTGGTTCTGACACCTGCCTCTCAAGCGCAAGGACCCGAATTTGATCCCTGTTACCAAAAAAAAAAACAAAACCCTTCTTCTGATGCTAATCTTGGGATCTACTGGCCTTGCTGCCAGCCAGTCCCCAGAAAACTGCACTGTGTGCAATCCTGGACCTGTCCGCCTCTTTTCGGTTTCACAGCACCCTCAGCCAGTTCTCGTACACGGGGACCAGGTTTCTCAGGAACGAGGTTACTCTTGCTTTTAGCACCCAGCTACCCAGGTCCTCCCACATCCTATGCTTCTGCAGGAAGGTCAGCAAGTTATCTCAGTTTCCTTCCTGAGGGGCCGTGAACACCTCTAGGACGTGTTTTCATGCCCCACCCATTCAGCCTGCTGTGGCCTCAGATCCCACGTAGCTGCTCACCTCTGGCCACCAGGGAAGTGACTCTCCACACGGTTGTCCCTTTCTCCATGTCACACCTGATGTGCTGTCCACTGGACAGAAGGTAGCGCTAAGAGATGTCTGTTGAATCCATGCATAATGGTAAGCTGGGCATGGTGGTGCACGCCTGTAATCCCAGTGCTTGGAAGGCTCAGGCAGGACAATTGCTGGGAGTTTTTCTGCCTTGGCTAAAGAATGAGTTCAAGGCCAACTTGAATTACATAACAAGACCCTGTCTCAAAAAAATAAATAAATAAATGAACAAATGAATGTAAACTTTGGGACAGAAAGGAAACTTCTGCACTTCCTGTGCAACGTAAATTAGTGCAGACACTGTAGAAATCAGTAAGGAAGTTCCTCATAAAACTAAAAATACAGGGCCCAGGGATTTAGCTCAGTGGTTCCGCCGCCTGCCTCGCAAGCACAGGGTTCGATCCCTGGCACCAAAAAAACCAAAAAACTAAAAACTAAAAATACAGCTACCATTTGATCCAGCTATATACCAACCCTTGGCATATACCCAAAGCAATTAAAGTCAGTATACCATCAGGATACCTGGATATCTAGGTTTATTGCAGCACAGTTCACAATAGCCATACCCACACATGCCCATTAACTGAGGAAAAGATAAAGAAAATGTGCTATCTATACATACTGGAGTATTACTCAGCCATAAGGAAAAATAAAATCCTGTCATTTGTAGGAAAATGGTTGCACTTGGAGCAGAATAAGCCAGGCTCAGAAAGACAAACATCACATGTTCTCCTTAATATATGGAATCTAACAAAGATGTCATGAAAAGTTTTTAAAATTGTGACTTAGAGACTTCTTGACATGACCATTACACGTGATTAAATAAAGAGCTGTAAACTAACAAAACACCATAAACCATAAGAAAGAGAGAAATAAAATGAGTAAAAATATTCCAGGTAGGCTGGGGATTTAGCTCAGTGGTTCTGCCACCTGCCTCCCAAATGCAAGGTCCTGAGTTCGATCCCCAGTACCAAAAAAAAAAAAAAAAAATTCCAGGTAGAAGAGAAATGTTATATTCTCTACAGGTTATCTGGTGCTAGAGTCTGAATGTGTCTGTCCCTCCAAAATCTGTGTAGAAATCTTATCCCCAGTGTATTAAGAGGTGGGAACTTTGAGCAGTGATTAAGTCATGAGGCTGAAGTCTTCATGAAAAGAATTAGTGACCTTATTTTTTTCACTGTTTTTTTCTTATTTATTTACTAATTTTATTAGTACACATTTTCAGTACATAAGGATTACATTCCTCAAGGGGAGGTGGTTCATGTACATAACACATCTGAATTCTTTTTTTTAATCCTCTTCCCCTTCCCCTTCCCTTAATCTCTTGGCCCCCATCTGTTTTGCAAATGTTCTATCTCCTTATTTCCTATTATCTCTCTTATTTTGCTCTTTAATTTATTTATACTTTAGGTTTTCCATATAGAAGAAACCATGCCACATTTAAGCTTGTATGTCTGATTCATTTCACTTAACATTATGGTCTCGAGGTGCATCCATTTTCCTCCCAATGACTTTCCCTTCTCTATGGCAGAGTAGTACTCCACTGTGTATAAATACCACATTTTCTTTATCCCTTCATCTTATAAATGAGGGCTTATAAAAGAAGAATCTGTACATCTCTTCTGCCATCTGAGTACACAAGATGCCCCATCTTTGAGCAAGTGGTCCTCACATAACCAGTCTGCTGGCATCTTGATCTTGGACTAGCCAGCCTCCAGAACTGTAAGCAATAACTTTCTATTGTTTATAAATTATCTAGTGTAAGGTATTTTGTTACAACAGTCCGAACAGAAAAAGACACCTGACTTCTTTAAAACTGAGTTGAGGGCCAGGGATTTAGCTCAGTGGTTCCGCCACCTGCCTCGCAAGCCCAAGGTCCCAAGTTCAATCCCTGGTACCAAAAAAAAAAAAACAAACCTGAGTTGAAGTTGTAGATAATAAGTAAGGAGATAGATTTTTCTCAAAGAAGATAGGGATCAAAAGACAGTGAGTGAGGAGGGAGGGATGGAAATGCGGATGAAAAAGGAATCAAGATGTGTCATGTATATGTGCCAACTCCCCACAGAGAACATAAACGGTAAACACTATGTATGATATGCATATACTAATAAATCACCCCCAAATTTACAGAATCTTAGTCGTATTCCCATTTTTTAGTATTTGTTTCTTACTGCTAAAATATAGCTTTTATCTTACATAGTAGTGAAAGAATAGGTTCCAAAAACATAACCTTAGTGACAAACTTTATTGTATCTTAAAAGCCATCTTTGAGCACAAGAACCCACAAGGGGGTTTTTACCAGATGAACTTCGGGAAGGTAGCTCTCCAGTGTCAGAGAGTTCTTGACTCACTGTTCAGTCACATGTTTTCAGTCTTTGATGCTCTGATCATCCTTAGAGGTAGGTATGAGAATGAGGGTGTGAGTGCCCCCAATTTTGGTATTTCCTCAGAGATCAGCCTTCCGGATTCGTGCCAAATGGGGTCCAGTGGTTTTGACCACTCTCAAGAGTTAACTTGCTGCACTCAGAGCCATCAGAAACGCCATTGATCACCGCTTTGTTCTCACCAAAAGACAAGGAAATTGGGGGAGCTATGATAAGAGTAGACTAAATACTGCACGAGAAACTTGGTTTTTCTTTTCTTTTTTGAAAGATATCAGTATTTTCCTTTTTTCATCCCCACAGGAATTCTATGTAGCACTCCTTGCTAGAAAATATAGTTGTAAAAAATGACAACAAATCATATCCTTCAAAGAAAATGAGGGGACACTCATACTCAGAGGAAGCTGATCACGGTGACAGGGGCCTCCACACCCCGAAGACACCTCGAACATCGCAGCCTCCAGGAAGCTGCTCTGAGAAGCAAGGCTAGCAAGCACAGCACCATAAACACAGGAAGCTCTTAGCACAGTCTCAACCGCATTAGTTGCCCTCCTCAGCATCCTGGATCAACCACAATTTCAACACTTGAAAAAGTAATAACAACAGTTTTACTACAGAATAATTCAAAGACCATGTGATTCACCCATTTGCAGTGTATATTCCAAAACTTTTAGCATACTCATAGAGTTGTGCAACCCTAACCACTGTCTCATTACATAACTCTCATCACCCCCAAAAGGAGTCCCTGTCATTAGCACCACACCCTGTATTTCTCCCCCTTCCCCCAGCCCTAGCGACTTCTAATGTACCTCCTGTGTCAGCGGATCTGCCCATTCTGGACAGTTCATGAAGGTGGAATGACAGAACATGCTCCTTCATGGCTGGCTTCTCAATGCCCCATTTGTTTTTATTGCTATGTAATATTCCAGTTTATGGATAAACCACGTTTTGTTCACCCACTCATCAGTTGATGGGCATCTGAGTTGTTTCCATATTTTGATGATGATGAGTAAAGCTAACATAAACATTCATATACAGATTTTTATGCAGATATATATTTTCATTTCTCTTGTGTATATACCCAGGAGTGGAACTGCTAGGTCACAGGATAATTTTACATTTAGCTGTTTGAGGGATTGCTGGGCTATTTTAAACAGCAGCTCCATACACTTCAGCACTATCTTTTTTTGCATCTCACCCCACCATTAGTTACTGGATCAGTAGGATTATGTTCCAGTCCTGTCCTGGTCTCCGAAGCACTTGAAACAACAAAGATGCTAACAGATGTTTGCAGAGACTTCTGCCATTTTCATTTTCTCCACTCTTCAGATTCCACATTCCTCAGCCCACTCATGACCTTGGTACTCACTAGGAGATGGAAAATGTTTCTTTTTTTTTTTGGTACTGGTAATTGAACTCGGGACCTTGCACTTGTGAGGCAGGTGCTGGAATCACTGAGCTAAATCCCCAGCCCTGGAGAAATGTTTCTTGATAAAGTTTCCCTATCCAAACTTCATCCACTACCTGTTCCTTCTCTCACGGTCTCTGCTGCCAGCCCTCTGGCTGGTTAGGATTTCCCTGGACGAACTTCATGCTTTCACTTACTTCATTTGCATCTGAAGAACAGAGTCATGTGTGTTAGGAGTTGTGACTTTTAGCTTTCCATTACTATAACAAACACCTGAGACAATCAGCTTACGAAGAAAAAAGGTTTATCTTAGCTCATGGTTTTGGAGGTGTCAGTCCATGATCAGTTGTTCCCAGTGGTTTGGGCTTGTTCTGAGGCAGCACATCACAGTGGGAAAGTATAGGGGAGCAAAGTCCTCACCTCATGGCTGGGAAGAGGAAGAGACCAAGATCCTACTATTCCCTTGTAGGGTGAGCCTTCAAGGACCCAGAGACCAGTAGGCCCCACATCATTTTCTTAGTCACTTTACTACCAAAGTACAAAACAGTAACTGGTGAGAAACAAAAATGAAAATGATGTTGCAAATACTAAAAGTGTGTCCCATTTCAAAGTGAAACTGATTTACTTGTGATAAATTAATGGAAATACCATATTCAGAATATACTTCTTGGGCCAGGGATTTAGCTCAGTGGCACCACCGCCTGCCTTGCAAGAGCAAGGTCCTGAGTTCAATCCTCAGTACTGGAAAAAAAAAAAATATATATATATATATACTTCTTTATACACCATATTTGCTTATACCAGGTGAAATAAGCACTCATCAGCTAATGTCCTACTTTCCTCTACACTTCTTTTCTGCCTAGCAACATTTTTCTTCTTTTCTACCTAGCAGTATTTCATGGCCCTTATGCTAAAATATTTGTTATGGTTTAGATAGAAAATGCCCCCCCCCAAGCTTCTTGTGTTCAGAGGTAGAGATCTGAAAAGCAATTAGATCATGAGGGCACAAATGTCATGATTGGATCAATCTATTGATGAGTTGAACGGGCTGTTAAGAGGTAGGGCCTCTTTGGAAGTGGTAGGACACAGGAGGCATAACTTCGAAGGGTATATCATGTCCCCAGGCTCCCATCTCTCTCCCTCTCCTTCCCTCCCTCCATCCCTTCCTCCCTCCCCTTTTCTTTCCTTTTCTTTATGCTTCCCGGCTGCCATGAGGTAAGCAGCTTTTCTCTGCCATGCTGGATGGAAACCATGAGCCAAAATAAACCATTTCTCCTTTAAGTTATGTATATTAGGTATTTTGTCCCAGCAATGGAAAGGTGACTAATACAATACTCCAATAATGTTCATTTCAAATAGTATTTTCCACTACTATTTTGCACCTTTTGAAATAGTTGTCCAAACTCTATCTCAGGAGAACACAAAGAATGAAGGAGAAAATTACATGGGCTTTGTTATAATCTGCTATCCTCTGCAGCAGAAATCAAAAGGCACATTCTAATTGGCCATGAAAACCACTGGTGGACTTCCTGTTTCTGCTTTCTCAGGGCTCTCCGAAGTTTGCACCACTAAGGTACTTGGCGTCCAGGGCATCTTTCTGAGCCTCACGGAAGCCCCCTGGTGGAAGAAAGCATAGTTCCCCCGACCTTTGCCTTCACAATCATGGCGCCATCGCTATGGAAGGAGGCCTTGGCCTCTTAGTCCTATAGCCCTCATGGCCTTTTGCACAGCACTGCACTGTTCTTCTGTGGGATTAACAGAAAAAGAAGGTGAATCACTGCCAATACATATGGTTCGTCAGACACTTCTGGCCTTTGCAATTGCCTGTTACAGTATAGTTCCTACTGCAGAGGAGTTTAAAGACAGGAATGCCCTTCAGAACTGAAGGAGAAGACATTTGACACCTGAATCACCCGCCTTTTATATATTTAATCATCATTGCCTAATAATGTTTCTGCCCTTTGGATACAACAAATTCTTCAAACTAAGATGCATTGCAACACCTCAGCGAAGTTATGAGCACTCAAGTCACTGGGCCATTAAGATTTTTACAAATTTTAGTATCAGGACAGGACACACAGCTCAATGTTAGAGTTTGGAGTGTGAAACACTCCCCCTACTTTATGTTTATATTGACCTTTCAGATCTAATTTTTAAAAATCTATGGTCCCTGTTTGTACACTGTTAATGAGATTGTTAATGGAGTGTATGTTATTTATGAAATGAATCTTTGATCTTTCATATAGGGAAGTTTTTACATTTGAAACAAATCTGCATCTTTTGTAAAAGTCACTGTTTTGAACACATGAAAAATGATGGTGGTTTTTGTGATTATTTATTGTCTTAGATTTATCTTGCACCACAGTTTCTGGGAATCTTTTTGCAGCTATCATGTGCTACTGCATTTCACAGCCCAAATTATAGTAAAATGGTCTTCAGCTCTTACCAAGTTTCAAAATGTGACTTCTCAGTTTTTCCTACATCCTCTAAAAAGTGGTTCTGCTTTTTCAGATATTTGCCACTTTTAAATTTATGCATGACTTCCCACCCCACCCCATTCCCATATGCCTTCTAGCATCAGCTGTCTTGTTGATCACGTCAATGAGATCATGTTCAATGAGCAGTTTTTGTGTCAGAAATTCTATTGAACAAGTACATTTAACAACCTCAGATTGCTATAAAGCTATCTGTGTTCTCTTCAGTTAGCTGTAAAATATTTTCTCTATATAGTGTAAGAATAGTTGAAAATAGACCAAAAAGCCATTTGTGATTTCATTATCCTTATTCAAAGTCTGTGTGAGTTTATTTCATATTAAATTAGTGAAAATAAAGGAAACTCCTCAGTAATCTAAAGGCAGACTTGAAGGAACTGGGCCAAATATGTTCTAAATTAGAACTAATGGGGCCGCGGATTTAGCTCAGTGGCTCTGCCGCCTGCCTCAAAAGTGCTAGGTCCCGAGTTTGGTCCCTGGCACCAACCCCCCCCCCAAAATTAGAACTAATGTATTCAAGTTTTTGAGAAAATAAGGTCATTTAAGAAATTGTTGTGTAGCTTCTGATTTATAGCAGGCTTACCATTTTCCGTCTTCACTGTATCATGCAGAAGGATACAGAGTTGAATTTTTTCAGAAACAATTATTTTGCTCTTAGAGAAGTTTGGCTAGCACTTTGAGCTAATACCCAACACCCACAATTTAAAGGAAGGAAGGTTTATTTTGTCTCACATTTTAGAAGTTCCCGTCCATGTTCAACAGGCTTAAACACAGAAGAGCATGGCAGACTGACCTGGGTGGAGGAGAGTGTCTCACCTCATGCTGTCCAGGAAGCAGAGGAAGCCAAAGGAGGAGGCAGGAAAGGAGAAATAATTTTCCAGTTCCCACCCTCACTGACCAGGCCCACCCCCTAACAGCAAGTCAGCTCTAAACCTACAAAATCCAATCACCTCCGGATATCCCACCTCTCATGGTCACATGAGGCATTAGGGGGACATCTAGATACAAATCATAACAGTGTGAAACACTTCTTTGCATAATTCTTACAACTTCTTGGTTTTTAAATTATTTTAAAATTTAAAGGTTAAAATACAAAGGAAGAGGATCACTCTGTACCTAAGCCCTCTGCTAGGTCCTGAGTCATATCATTTGTGAAGTACACTGAGGTCCTGGGACCACCCTGGAACTCACTGTAGACAGGTGAGAGGGGTTGGTTTGCCTTGTAGAGAGAAGACTGAGGAGAAAGCAAAGAGTGAAAGTGGCCCCTGGAGGGCTGACTGCAGCTCACCAGGTTGAGGACGTCTCCTCAGTCCTTTAATATAGGGGTGAATGAGCGCCTCATGACGCTGGCCAATCAGGGCCGGAGACCATGCAGAGGAGCTGGGGCCCATGTCTGAACCCGGATGGAGTTTGAGCCATGTGCAGTCCTCAGAGCAGACAGCATTACAGGTTGTGCATCTCGCAACTCATCATCCCGGGTTGTCTGTTCACAGATAGGCTTGCTATTACCAGATCAGGAAGAAATCCTTAGCTGGTTTCGGTGGTGCACTCCTGTAATCCCAGCTACTCCAAAGGCTGGGGCAGGAGGATGGAAAGTTCAAGGCCAGACTGGACAACAGAGTGAGACCTTGTCTCAAAAGAAGAAATATGGGGTGGAGGGCAGTCTGAGGACGCAACTCAGCACGCCTTGGGTTCAATCCCCAGTACTGGATGGGAAAGAAAAAAAAAAGCCTTAAACTTGAGCACAGAAATTGTCCATGGCTCCAGGCTTCTGAGGACCTAAAATCATACAATAATTTGAAACTAGTAATGGAGGCAAAAATGAGAACATGCCCCAGAAGCAACAAGATACCTTCTTCTGGGCCGGGGATTTAGCTCAGTGGTTTCACAGCCTGCTGTGCAAGCTCAAGGAACCGAGTTTGAGCCTCAATACCAAAAAAAAAAAAAAAGATACCTTCTTCTTTTTGTTTTTCACAATCTCTGATTTGGGCTTAAAATAGGAAATAACAGGTGGCAGGTGGTGAATTTCTCGGTTCATTTTGGGGGGACCCTGTCACCATTCTAAGGGATGTGGCAAAATCAACTGTGATGTTGACAAACCATCTAGTTTTAAGACTAAATTCTAGAACTGGATGGTGATAAGCTGTCTGTGGTTCCAGATTTCTGATGACCTCAGAGCCATAATGAGAAGTGATCTGAAAGTAGTAAAGATGAATATGTGAAGACATTTGGCAGTCGAACTGGAGTGTCTATTATCCTCCCAAAATTCATGCCCACACCGAACTTCAGAATGGGACTTTATTTAAAAGTAGGGTTTTGGCAGAAACAATTAGTTAATTGAAGATGAAGTCATACTAGATTAGGGTGGACCCTGGTCCACTGACTGGTGTCTTTATAAGAAGAGGAACAAAGACAAGAGGTACAGATCCACAGGCACACACGATAGCCATGTGAGCAAAGGTCGAAGTGATGCTTCTCCAAGCCAAGGAGAAGCCCTCTGCTGTCAGAAGCTAGGAAGAAACAAGGAAGAATCCTCCACTGGAATCTCTGGAGGGGTCATGACCCATTTTCTGAGGGGTCATCCCCACCAACACCTTGATTTTTGACTTCAGGCCTCCAGAACTAAGAGAATGTATTTCTATTGTTATACACAGGGATGTAGCTCTGGGGTATAGCACTTGCAAAGCATACACAAATTTTTCAACTTTCAGTACTTTAAAAAAATCTATTGTTTTAAACTGCTCCCTCTGTGGTCATTTGTTAGGGCAGCCCTAAGAAACACAACATAGCAGTGAAGGATGCGTTGTTTTTTCCTGATGAGTTAGTTACAAGCTCTTCTTTGTGCTGAAAATGAGGAGGGGAAAGCAGAAGGTGATTGCTCCAAGTCATCGTACAGGAGCCAGGGACTTACCTGAGGAGTGACTGTGTTGACTCACTGTCTCATTTTCCAGACTCTGGTTCTAAAAATGCTCAAGCCAGTCCAGTTACTGAAAAACAAAGGAAAAACAGGCTGTGTCATGAAAAATTCCCTGTGATTTTCTCCCTCAGTGGAGTTCATGGCTCCC